GTGGACGCGCGCTTCAACAGGCTCGGTCCTGCTGCTCCGCGGTTGCGGCACAGTCAGCGATGAAACGCCAGAAACAACAACAGGTGACTTTAAGCTAGCGTCATATGATCCTGTTCTTATTCTTATTCATGTTTATTCATTTATGCGCGACAAAACAAAAGAAAACGCGCTGCCAGTGAATGTCCTCCTGATACACAGACACACACACACACACACACACGACGCACAGAAAGACGCGCGCCAGTATCGAGTTCTATTTCGCCGCTTGATCGAACAAAAACACACATGTATGCCAAAATGTCCGTTTTGTCGAGTATCCTCAAAATAACAGTCTTAAATGAGTTAAATACAATCTTAAATGAAAGTAAAGAGTAGTGAGAGAATGAGATGCATGAGATCCTGTCAGCAGCGGCAGATCTTAAAGTGACAGCAGCCACAAATTCTCTCTGTCAGTAAAGTTAACCAAAGAACAAAGGGAACAGAAAAAAATTCTAACTGCTCTTGACTAAATAATGCTTGTAGCTTTAATAAGGATTCATCTGTATTTAATTTATATTTATGCAGTGCGGACTATTTGATAACCTTATTCAATTTCTGTATATTTCATACCTGGCACAGGTAAATATGACGTTTATTATGGGTTCATGTAAAATTTGTTTTAAGTTCACTTAAATTATAAGTTGTTATATTTTTTTGAAGCCTAATAAATGTTTAAAAAATAATTTGGGGGTGGGTGTTGGGGTTATACTGTCTTTATGTTGTTTCTACATTACAGTGGAAATTGAGGCTCACATTATTTACATTTTTATTTACACACAAAACATTAATGGCTAACATTTTGACTTTATAAAATGATTCTCTAAAGTTTTGTCGATCGGTCCCTATAAACAATAAAGAAAGGAAGACATATTTTTCTTATACATATAGCCTACTATTCTTTTTGGCAGAATTTATCATTATAATCAAATTATTTCCTGGTTTTTGTATCAGCATAGTCCCTAAATGTATGTACATCCAGTAAATGGGATTCAAATCGAAAACATTTCCCCCCATTTTGTGTCCCCCCCCACTTCTCAAACCAAAGTTACGCCCTTGCTCACGCGCATGCGAAAAACACAAACACTTAACGCACTTACTGTGAGGGTCGTCGCTCGCAATGAAGCGAGAGCATGGCGGAGAGCAACGACGATATTCCATTGCACTTCACTGTAAGGAGAACAAAGTTCCACTTATTCCAGTCGCTGAAGTGCAGAAGACGACGAAGCAGTTGTAATCCGAATTTTTCGTGACTCAGAAAAATCGAAAGCGAAGGGCATGAAATGGCCGCTTCGTGAAGGCAGAGAAATCTGAGGGGCAGATGGCGCACGTGCGTATATAATGTTACGGCGTAAGAGGGTCGGGGCGGCGCCCGCGCCATCAGCCAATGAATTGACGTGATTCTATAAGGGCTTCAGACAACCGGCACACAAAGAGGGCATTCCCACTGCGTCTTAAAGCTACGCAGCGTTGAGTGAACCTATGAAAGAGAACCAGGACATTTTCATCACTTTATAAAAAACAGTCTGGACGGCCAGGACAGGACGTGAAAACAGGACACGTTTGGTCACCCTATTCAAAACTGATCGTTAGTTCAACAGACGCATTCTCGCACACTAACAAGTAACAAATGTGGACTCCACGCCCAGCGATCGTGGCGTGTCTGTTTTGGCGCACTTAATGTGGCATAACAGCTCGCTGTAGTTGAAGCCAAAGCCATTGAAACAGAGTTGCAACCATTGCGAGACCGTCATGCCTTGATCTCGACACACGGTCACGTGGTTCACGGAGCTCTCATTAGTTCCAAACAAACCAGCGCTGTCAATACATTTGAATGGCTTAAGCAGGATACAGGTATTTGCAGACATTTTTGGTAAACATTGCATCAAAGTGTGCATTGATTATTACGTCGAAGACATTTACAGTATCATTTTATTCTGGAGAGTGATGGAGAGGCAACATTAATGCTAATGTTTTTCTTGTATTTAACCCTCAGGTTTTCCTTACTTATTGGTCACTCATACTCATTGTTGGTCAAATGTGACCATACACATTAACTATTTTATAATTAAATGTTCTATAATTTAGTTCAATAATATTTATTAAATATTTTTAGGAGATCTTTTGATACTTGGTCCATTAATGGCAACTTAAAATCATATTTTTTTCCTATTTTGTATTATTATTTATATTACAATTAGTCTACTATTCAAGGTTAAAATGGAGAAAATGGTTTTAAATAAGGCAAATTAGAGTCATTTTGGGGCCAGAAAAATAATGATTTCCATTTGTAAGGCCATGGTTAACCCATTAGGTGCCTGTATGGCTGTTAAATATACATGTATCTACTAGTCTAGTTGCTCAAAAGAGTATTGCAGGTCATAACTGCTTATTTATTTGTAGATTCTGTATTTGAATAAATATTTAGACATGATCAAACACTAGATTTTTCAAATTATACATTTAAAAAAGGTAATAATTAACAGTCAACTGCTCGCTATAGAGTTTCCTTTATTGTGTGTGCGTTCAAGAGAAGTAAGTGTGTTTGTTATAATCTTATGCTTATATGATTCTAACATCTCGTTTCTTGTCTTTAGTGTGAGAATTTGAGTTTGTAGCTGTTACTGGTTCATTGTATTATAACTGCGTCATCTTCAGAAGTGATCTTCAGAAGTGAATTCAGCCAAGTTACATTTAGTCATTTAGCAGACGCTTTTATCCAAAGCGACTTACAACTGAGGACTAAACCAAGCGAGTCATTGTGAAGAGGCAAAAACAACGCAAGAAGTGCTCAAAATACAAAGTTCAGACATTGCTTGGAATGGCATAAGCCAGATAAGCGAGGATTTAAAGGAAAAGGAAAGATTTTTTTTATTTTTTATGTTAAGTGCTCCCGGAAGAGATGAGTTTTCAGTTGTCTTTTGAATGCTGTCAGGGATTCTGCATTCCGGATGAGGGTGGGCAGATCACTCCACCAGCATGGAACTGTGAATGAGAATGTTCTGGAGAGTGATTTAGTGCCCCGCTGTGATGGTACCACGAGCCGTCGCTCATTGACCGATCGTAGGCTTCTGCTAGGGATGTAGACTTGTAGTAGTGAGTGGAAGTAGGAGGGAGCTGAACCTGTGGTCAATCTGTAAGCAAGCGTCAAAGCCTTGAACTTGATGCGAGCAGCGAGTGGTAGCCAGTGCAGAGAGATGAACAGAGGAGTGACGTGGGCCCTTTTGGGCTCGTTGAAGACCAGACGAGCTGCAGCATTCTGGATCATTTGTAGAGGTTTAGTTGCGCATGATGGAAGTCCAGCCAGAAGAGCATTGCAGTAATCAAGCCAAGAAATGATCAGGGCCTGGAAGTTTGTGTATTGTATTATGTTTAGAGTATATTAACTGTTTAATCAGTATATAGTGTTGTTTCACGTGAATAACCTGTTCAGACAGTATTCTTATAATCACACACAACAACACAGGGCGAGAAAGAGTCAGTGAATTCATGAACCGTGACAAACAAGTTCTTTCTTAAATTGAAACACAAAGTCCACACTAGAGGCTCAGGAACTACTCGCTAGTTATTAACTAACTCTGGACTTTGTTCCATTGCAGCATTTGTTCTTAATCCAGAAAGTGGCTAGTAGGTCGTAAGCTATTTTCTATTTGAGTGGTCAAAATATCACTGAAATCTAATTTATTATTATCTATTAATTAAGAAACGGGGATAATACACTTTTTTTACGTTTTTGTTTTGTTAATTGTTGTGGGTTCCCAATAGTATTATTAACATAATGATTATGATTTAGTTTTTTTATTATTAGGATTTTTGTTCTGGTTTTAATACAATTCACCACACCCGCAAAAAATTAAAAATAAATCAAAATGAAAATCACACACTGAAACGGTTAATTACCAATAGCAAGCAGTTCAAAACAATGTTATAACAAAATGATGACTTTACTAAAACAGATTACAAAAATAATACAACATAAAAATATGATGAATAAAACTATTTAACAAATATTTTATTTTATTTACCGGTAATATTTTCATTTTCACAAGCTGTTTATACAGAAATTACAACTTTTTAAACTTCAAATGTTGTGCTTGAAGAGGACAATGGTTATTAACTGTTTTGAAGATGACTCTTAATATCCATAAATGGGCTTGTTATTTTGCATTATAAGCTTTTTTTAAGGAGAAAGTGTTTATTCTGTATATTTTTATATTTAGTTAAGATGTGTTGAAATTACTGTGTTGTGCAGAACTTTTGTGGACGTTTAAAATGTGAGGCGCTGTTATAAAGCACATATAACCAGTGTTACTTAAATTGCGCTTGAATGGGTAGTATGTTAATACCTTGAAAGCTTTTCGAGCTTCTTATAAATAAATGAATAATTTTATTATAAATATTGTATTATAATGTTGTTTAATGAAAAAATAAATAAATCATTATGATTAGTCGTTAAACAGTATGTCTATTATAATTCTGGTTAGGCTACTTTTACTCAATCAGTTATTTTAGGATAATTTGAAAGTAATGAAATCAACCATCATTGTGAACTTGAAGTAATGACAGACGATTCAACCATTAATAAAGATTGGGTAAATATGATTATAAAATGATATTATACTGTAATAGAGAATATAACAAATTGGGTTCAGTTTTCCCAGCACAGTGTACATTTCTGTTCCCCAATGAATTCATATTTAGAGTCAGTTAAACTCATTAAACAATCAGAAATGATTAAGACCATTCGGTTATTTTACATGGCAATATATTTGTTTGTAACTCACTTTATTTGATAGATTGTTTTTGCTGTTGCTGTTGTTGATGATAACTCTTTATTCTTCATGATTGTCTTCAATAAGATGTTGTTGATGTGTGTAAATGTTGTGATTTGCAGGTGATGCTGAAGGATTGAGTGTTTTCAGAAAGCAGTGCTGATCAGTTTTCAGGGTCAGTTTAGCTGCAGTATGTCAGAGGAAAGAGGAAAGGACTCTCTCTCTCAGATGAGTCTCTCAGAGAAACACAGGTGAGACTGCGTCTGTTTTCACACTCTCAGTTTAAACTCCACTGGACTTTGTGTTTCCCTGTCAATAACACAACTTTAAGCATTGTTTTATATTTACAAATGCTTTGCACAACTTCAATTTTAACTTCTTAAATTAACACTGACATTGTCTATAAAGCCCTGTTTGCTCTATAGAAAATATCACAGTTAATAATTTGTTAATAACCTTCTAGACGCTGAATTAATCCAAATAAATTACTTCAGTATTTAGTATTTAAATTATAAAATTATTGACAGACATTAGAAAACAACTATACACTTACTTTAATTCAAGTATGCTAACAAAACTGTGTCACACAGACATTTTCTGCTCTCTATTTCTTTCAATAAATAAAAACTTGAAATGTTCTCTTAAATTATGGTCAAGTATCTTTTAAATTCTCAACATGTTTAATCTCATTCATGTATATTAAAGAAATTGTTAAACTAACGTAACCCAGTAAAATAAAATGATGGTGGTTACCTATAAAACTGTAAATTGTGTGAGTGTCTGTGTTTCTGTGGAGGATTAGATAAAGACACAGATGTGTTTCAGACACAGTTGATCCTCCTTTACTAAAGTGTTTTCTCTCTCTCTCTGTTCTTTGTGTCATCAGTGTAAGATCAGGCTCACATGTGTCCAGCTCTGTGTCTCTGAAGAGTGATCGGTCTAAAGGTGGACTTCCACCAGAGTTCAGTGAGAAAACACCATCATCTAATAAAAGGTATTTTGTGTTACTCATTTTTTTGTCACACGTTGACTGTGTTTAAAAGTTGTATCCGTGAAAACCAATCATGAAACATGTTTAGATCAAATATTTGTCAGAGTATTCACAGCTAATGCTTATTTCTCTTTCTGTAAAATATCAGTTAGTATATTATTTAACTAATGTGATTACAGGCTTCAATATGAGACATTAGACTCAGACCTTCAGACTCACAGGAACCACGAGAATTTCAAAGAAAATCTTCTTGGGATCTTCCAGGTAGGAAAACACATTTTTATAAATGTTTAATATTTCTAACAAACAAATATGTTATTGAACAAAGAATTTTAATTACCTTTTTCTTCATCTCCTTTTTTCCCTTTTAAACACATTGTAGCACAACTTGGTCAGCATGTTATTCTTTTAACTGGATTTTTTATATATGTATTATAATTATTGAATAAATAGTGTTGACCAAATGTAGGGCTGGGCGGTATGACGGTATATCGTTACCGCGGTAGAAAATGTCAACCGTAACAGATTGTTTTATTCCGTGTATACCGCGACATGCAAATAAGTGGGCGTGGTTAACACACGCGCAGCGTGCGTGAGACTGAGACACTGAGATTTGTCAAAGAAACATGGAGAAAGCCGATCAGGAGGATCCACAAAGGAATTAAGCTTTCTAAAGGGTTGTTGTTAATGTGATATTTTCGGGGGGAAAGGCGCAGCAGTCACTAGAGCAGTGCAGCACCCAGGCTAGAGGAGTGCACGCTCGCAACGGGGAAAACATGAAGCTTGACAATAGCAGGTCATATATCAATATCGTAACGAATAGAAATAACCTTAAATAATGTATGGTTATCTCCATCTTTCCGTCTCAGTTACTTTTTAAACACGTAAATCACATTCAGCATGACACACAAGCGGTTGCCGTGGTAATGAACATCCTTGTTAAAGCGATAATCCTGTATCTGAGGGAAAAATTAGTATATGTAGCGCGAGTTATATATTTCTAACTCCAAACAATTGGCCACTGAACCAGCTGATAAAATCTTCCTTTGATTCGATCCGTGATTACAACTTGACACTCAAATTAGCCGATCGCATTTTACTGATGCAAAAGACGCGCGCGTGCACAAGCACTGAGAGAGAGAGCGCGTGTGTCAGTTGTTCACCGGGCTATGATCAAATAATGACGCAGTTACAAGGTGTGTATAACTTAAACTACTTAGTCAACACAAACAGTAGCTGCTGCTCGGTTCATACTGCTCCTTCTAGTCACTTCTGAACTTGAAATTCTCTCGATTAAAGCTCCAGGTTGCCAGATATCACAAAAAGAGCAAAACAAGTCCCTTAAACGCAGTATAATAAGGAGACATGGCAAAAATGTACCGGGGAACACATTTAAACATAACTAGTATAACTAATATCCTACAAAATTAAAAGGAAGTAACTAATTTATTATGAATAGAATAGTTCAATATAAAATATTCAGATATTATAAACTGATTGATGAAGTAAAACAATAACATGAGATTGAAAAATTATTCAGCAACACTTTATTTAAAGTTTAATTGCACCGATAGGAGTTGTATTTAATATGAATCATTTGGGGGTAGTTCATCTAAAAGTTGATGAGTGTGTTTTGTTTAATATATTTAGCTATCAAAATAGTTTACCAAATAAATAATTTCCCAAATAAAAGAAAAATCAAACAAGGTGAAGTACTTTTCATTTCTAAAGTATTTGGGTTTATTTATTATACAAAGTCCTTTTTGTAGATTTTTCGAGAATAACTATATATATAAATAACTATATCGTGAAATATATCGTTACCGTGAAATAAAATTAGTCATACCGTGAAATGCAATTTTGGTCATACCGCCCACCCCTAACCAAATGTAGATGTAAAATTTGGCTTAAATTGTGTTATTCTGTCTTTCCTCTTACTTTTGTTTGTAGGATCTTGAGAGCAAAATAATCACATTTCTGAGGAATGAACTGGAGAAGTTAAAGAAAATATTACAACATGAGAACACACAACACTTTGTGAAGGACTTTAATGAGAACAGATCCAGTATCAAATCAGCAGCTCTTGATCTCACACTACATTACCTGAGAGAGATGAAGCAAGATGAAGCTGCTGATGCTCTAGAAGGCAAGAGACTCGTGATCATCTGTCTGATTGTCTCTTATAAATGTAGGAGAGAAAATGAAGACTAAAACTATCTATTGTCTGTTCCTGTGTTTAGGTGAGCTGTTCCTCATTCCTCAGCTGAAATGTGGCCTAAAGAAGAAGTATCAATGTGTGTTTGAAGGAATGGCGAAGCAAGGTGACTCCACACTCCTGAATAACATCTACACAGATCTCTACATCACTCAGGGTGGCAGTGAACAGGTCAATACTGAACATGAGGTGAGACAGATTGAAGTTGCTTCCAGACGTCATGAAGCACAAGAGATACAGGTTGAATGCACACATTTGTTTGAAGCGCCTGAACAAGACGAGGAGATCCGAACTGTACTGACAAAAGGAGTCGCTGGCATCGGGAAATCAGTCTCTGTTCAAAAGTTTGTTCTGGACTGGGCTGAAGGAAAAGAAAATCAAGATATCAGCTTCATATTTCCTCTTCCATTCAGAGAGATGAACTTAAAGGAGAAAGAAAAACTAAGTTTGATGGACCTTATTACTCAATTTTTCCCAGAGACAAAAGGACTGAACCTTACAAGAAGGAATCAGTTCAAAGTGCTGTTCATCCTTGATGGACTGGACGAATGTCGCCTTCCTCTGAAGTTTGATTGTAATGAGACGTGGCGTGATGTATCGTCACCAGCCTCTCTGGATGTTCTCCTAACGAACCTCATGAAGGGAAATCTGCTTCCTTCTGCTCTCGTCTGGATCACCAGCAGACCAGCAGCTGCCAGTAAGATTCCTCCTGACTGTATCGACCGGCTGACAGAGATACGAGGATTCAGCGAAGCACAAAAGCAAGAGTACTTCAAAAAAAGATTCACGGATGATATTCAAGCCAACACAATCATAGATCATGTTAAACAATCAAAGAGTCTCTTTATCATGTGCCACATCCCAGTCTTCTGCTGGATTTCAGCCACTGTTCTCCAGAACATTCTGGAGGAGAAGAGAAATAATGATGTGAAAAACACTCAGGCTGATGAGATCTCTAAAACACTGCAGGAATCAAACACTGAAGACACTCCCAAGACTCTGACACAAATGTACACACACTTTCTCCGCTTTCAGATCCAGCAGAGCCGCCGAAAGTATGATGGAGAATACACACCAGATGTTTCCTGGGATAAAGACGCCATCCTTTCACTGGGGAAACTGGCATTTCATCAGCTGGAAAGAAACAACCTGATCTTCTATGACACAGACCTGGAAGCCTGTGGTCTTGACGTCTATAAGGCATCAGTGTACTCAGGCATGTGTACCCAGATCTTTAAGGAGGAAACAGGGATCGTTCTTGGTACCATGTACTGCTTTGTTCACTTGAGCATTCAAGAGTTTATTGCAGCCCTTTATGCACATCTGTTTCTAGACATCAACAAGACAAGTGTGTTTGATCATGAGTCTACAGAACAGGAAAACAGAAATGAAACCATGATTGATTTTCTCAAGACTGCAGTGGACAAGGCGCTGGAGAGTGACAATGGACACCTGGACCTTTTCCTTCGCTTCCTCCTCGGTCTGTCACTCCAGTCCAATCGACGACTCTTACGAGGTCTGTTAACACAGCGAGACGGCACTGACCAGAGCAACAAGGGGATATTTCTACGACTCTTACGAGGTCTGTTGACACAGCGAGACGGCACTGACCGGAGCAACAAGGAAATAGTTCAGTACATCAAGCAGAAATTAGAAGACAATCTTCCTGCAGAGAGATCCATCAATCTGTTCTACTGTCTGAATGAACTGAACGACCAAACTCTGGTGAACGAGATTCAGACCCACCTTAGCAAAGGAAGTCTCTCATCTGGTGACCTTTCACCTGCCCAGTGGTCTGCTTTAGCCTTTGTGTTGTTGACATCAGAGGAAGAGCTGGAGGAGTTTGAGCTTCAGAAATTCAAGAAATCAGACGAGTGCCTCATTAGATTATCGGCAGTCATTAAAACCTCCAGAAGAGCCCTGTAAGTCTTTTAATATATTTTGTCATGTTTAGCTCTCATCTGAAAAATGCATTTATCTACATTACTCTATAGTGATTCCCCATCATAAACATGAAGCTATACCTGTAAAGCCTTTTGTGTGTGTGTGTGTGTGTGTGTGTGGAGACAGTTTATCACACCTTAAGACAAAATATAAAAGACCATGTAAAAATGTTTGCATGTTTGTTTTGTATCATATGATACACCAGACTTGTATTAGACGGTGGGCCGAACGCGTTTTTCGTGTTGTTGATCGATCTCCATCGATAGAGTATACGCTTTTTTCATGTGCGATATTAAGTCATTATATGTAGTCAAATAAAATTTGTTGGCAATTCTGGTTTGATCATATATTTTCACAAACGTATGTTTTGATTGTCAATCTTCTTAGGCAAATCGCAGGACAGCTCTAGTAGCTGCGCCAATCGGATTGTAGTTTTTAGCCTCATTAAAAATACTAACCAATCGCAGACGGCCAGACTAGGACCCCGAAATGGGCGGGCGTGACATAGCGGCAATGTTATATTGTAGTAGGCCAATTTTTATATATCTAACACAAATAAGACACTTTATCTTGGATATGGAGTGTTATGTGCATGTTACTAGCTGTACATCAACACTAACACCTTTTCACTAACAAGTTGGATCAAGTTTGTACAATGTTCTTTAGAGTGGGTGAATTTAAATACAAAAGAAAGCCAAATCGCCCAAAAAGCTGTGGAAAAATAAGAAATCACAGAAGGCCACATTCCAGATGTGCCAATTCATGTTGGCTACCATAGAAAATTATACATGCAGTATGCTAACAAAAGAAATATTGAGAGAGCCAGCAAGAGGAAAGAAAAGACAGTACAGGAAGTTGAAGGGTTGTAAGGCAGCTTTATTGTGGTTAAGTGTAATTGTTTGACCTCATACGTTTGGATAAATCATGGTATAAATGCTTAGGATCCTTTTTAACCCCAAACATAAATTATTGATATTTACATCTCAGAAATAGTGAAAAAACAAACAGATATAATTATATAATGTAATAACATATATATTAAGTTAATTATTATATATTTAGTCTTATAAAAGTTAAATATCTATTATCTTAGCATGACTACCTTTATAACTAAATGACAATTCAACTATTTGGTCAAGCAGGTTTTAGTAGTATATGGCAGTAATATATACAATGGTAGAACATTTAACATATTAACAACAATAAATAGATCTCTCCGAAACTATGCGCACAAAAAATAAACCCTGCCCATGTAAACCCTGCCAGGCCAGACCATGGATCTATTAAGAGAAAGGATTCTATAGACACAGCAACATATTGTCCATACTAGACATCTAGTGGACACATTTTTCAACATATAGCGACTGAAATGTGCTCCATCAATCAGATGAGCAAAACAGTAAAAGGGGTTTTATGATGAACCCTGAAAAACAAAGGGCATTTTCATTGTTTCAGCAGAATAGATGTGTCAGGGCTTAGTCCGATCAGGTCAAGAAGATGTCTCGCAGGGCTGAGGATCTGGGATTACCTGGGGAAACAGATTAGCAGAGTTGTAAACGGTGTAGTAAAATTATTGGTTCACGGTCTAATAAATGAGGATTTACATTTATGAGGCACTTTAAAAAAAGAATTTAAAAAAAAAGTGTAAGATGAGCCCAGATTAAAATGCATACAGTAATCACACCTTGGGCCCTATTTTAACGATCTGAAACGCAAGTGTCAAAGCGCAAAGCGCAAGCAACTTTGTGGGCGGATCCCGGCGCTGTTGCTATTTTCCCGGCGGGATAAATGACTCTTGCGCCTGGCGCAAATCTAAAAGGGGTTGGTCTGAAGTAGCTTCATTATTCATATGTGTGGTTTGGGCGTAACGGGAGCAATCCAATAAGATCGTCATATCACATTCCCTTTAAGAGCATGATGAACGAGGTGCGCTTGTTCCATGGCGCAAAACTATTATAACGGCGCATTTACCAGGCGCGCTTCAGAATCGGTTCACAGCCGAGGAGATCGATGTTCTCGTCAGGGCCGTAAAAGAAAGAGAAGTGACATTGGGGACGGGACAAACCCACCCAAATTAGCTTCGGTTAAACATGCATATAATAATCGGGGTAAATGTGTAAGCTTATATGCCTATTTTTCAAATTGTCATGGACACAACAATGATTTTCCTCGTGTTTTAATATTTTTCCTTATAATAATATATAATTTGCAAAAAGTAAAATGCATCTGTGTAGATGAGAGAATCATCTACAGTGTATGCGCGTTGTTCAGACTCTGTATTATGGCCAAGCATGCGTGCTTAAAATAGCTTCTGAATGTACGCGCAATGCGCCACCGACTTTAGACTAGGTTTTTTCTGGTCAGTGGCGCAATCGTTTTCTGGAACTGCAAAATAGCACTAGGGAAAAAGTTTGCGCCGGAACACGCCTCCTCTTTTCGCTGAACCGCCCCGGGGAGCGCAAGTGTATTTCTTAGTTAACCGACGTGTGTCTGTGGAGGGAAAAGTCTGCTTTGCGCGGGTGCAAAATAGGAATGATACATGTGTCAGTGTACAAAGTCATTTGCGCCGGGTGCAAGATAGAGCCCCTTGTGTCAATTTGAATAATAAAAGCATACCATTAGGGCTCGGCAGTAAATTGAAGTGGTTATCCAACTTGGTATCAGCTTGTAGTTGCTGAAACTGAAAATAAGGTTGACATTTTTAGAAAATGTATGCCATGACTCATGAGTAATTAATACACTAAACAAAAGGGGGAAAAAGCTTTATTTATAGCAAACAATTATATGTCGTTTGTTTTATTTGACAATTTAAAGAATTTGAATATCAAGTGTTATCTGCTAACAAGTTGGAAGCATTACTACTACAATCCCTGCAGTCATCACATTTTTCTGTTTTTCCCTTATCTTTTCTAGACAGAGATTAAAGTGGAAAAGATAACATTTATCATATAAGTTTACATCTACTAGCTACATCACCTAATAGCTAGTCATGGAAGAGATAACATGTAACGTTATTAGCTAGCTACATACGATTACATCAACTACACACAACCTAACGTTACTATAGATAGACCTTCTACGGGACAAGCCGGATTCCACCATATCTTTATGTACACAATAATAATATTTTACATTGTAATCCTTTTATTTTAAATATTTGGCATGTTTGTGCATGTCCCTATGTGTGTAATAAGCAGAGTGTGTGTTTAATAAGCAGAGTGTGTGTGTAATAAGCTGCGTGTGTGTAATAAGCATAGTGTAATAAGCAGAGTGTGTGTGTAATAAGCAGTGTGTGTGTAATAAGCATAGTGTAATAAGCAGAGTGTGTGTAATAAGCAGAGTGTGTGTGTAATAAGCAGAGTGTGTGTGTGTGTGTGTAATTAGCAGAGTGTAATAAGCAGAGTGTGTGTGTAATAAGCAGAGTCTTTGATTAGAGAGATTACTCTGTCTAGTAATCCTCGTCTTTCATATCCTAATTTATGGCGCTACTGTACAGCCTGATAGAATAACTCTGTTTACGTTTTCTTCTCTGTGATCTGTATGTCATTTCTAACTAGTGTAACGTTAACGTTACCTGTAAATACAAACATAATCCGGAATAACCTATTATGTTAACGGTTTACAGAGTTCATGCACTAAGCTAACGTTAAAGACAGGTATAAACAGCAGTATTTACCTGAGCCATTACACCTGGAATCTTGGATGCCGCTGTTAATATTTCTCGTCTTCGGATAGGATTCCTGCTGGAAAATGTTTGATTGTGTAGATTTCATTAGAGAAGATTTTATGGTGTGAACTCATGGATCTAGCTAGCTAGAGAACGCATGTGCTACGCTACAGTCGTGGTAATGGTACTATATTTTGAACGAATACTATTGGCAGACGTTAGTCACGTGACGATAGAATTCGTTTTTGATTGGTTAGATGTGTAGTACTCCCTCGCGTGTGCCTCATCCGTTTATTAAACGTAAATTTAGTTTTCAAAAAAATATGATCGACTTGAGACTGCCAACAAACGGATACGTGTTCATAAAAAAATTATTTAGTTTATGTGAAAAAAGCAGCTACTCTATCCTCGAGGATCTATCATTTCAAAAACTAAAGCAGATAGCAGCGTTCGGCCCACCGTCTATATGACTTATATAGAATTATATATATTATCACATAATCACACTTGAGGAAGAAAAAAAAGACTTTATACTTTATTCATATACCCAAACTGGGGGGAAAGAATGTAATTTGGTACAGATGTTATTTATATTTCCAAAAAGTAAGATGAAATTCTGAAAGGTTATAGTATAAAACATTGGGATTTTTATAAAACAGTCTACTTAAATAAAGTACATATATATTACCACATCATATATTAGTTGCTCCTCTGTTTCTCCCAGTAATTAGATATTTTGAATGCTTATTTCTCTGAGTAATTCTATAGTTTATGTAATAACAATGTAATGCAATATGTAGATCGAGAGATTTACAAATAAACATCTATCAAAAGCCTGTTGTATCATATTTGATGTACACATCAGATGGTTTTTCTACAAAAAAAAATGTCAGTAATTGTCATGGATGCTTCTTAACTATCTTTAAATTAATTATATTTCTCCCATTGGCCACCCTTCTCTCAATATATTGGCATCAACCATCGGTTGACCTTAATCTTAAAATATTAAAAACAAATACAATTTCTTAGGTTGTTAGGTTTAAGTAATCTTAGCTTTACTTAAATCATTAAATATTTTATTTTAAAAAGACATGTACATGTGAACGGAGGCAGTTTTAGAATTATAGTGAAAGGCCTTTAACTTGCCATAAAGTGTGAACTGTCTCATATAATGGTGTCGGTGCAGTCAAGTCAATAATATTGTTGAGTATTAAGTGTCCACTAAGCAAGATAGAGGCAACAGTGGCAAGAACCTAAACTCCATCAGGTGACATACATGGAGAAAAAAATCCAATAGCTATAGAAGCTTTACACAAATATTTTTTCAAACATGCTTCATTTTATCTAGGATATTTGTCACTGAATAAAAAACACTAATGTACAGAAAATAGTCGTTTTTGAAGATAAATGTTATTTTAACTCAGCCTCTTTGCTATATATGCTGTATGTAAAAAATAAATGAAAATGTATTTAATATTTGAATATAGAAAATGTATTGTATGTGTTCCATCTAATTCTGTGTTGTGACTTTATTGTAGGTTAAATGATTGTAACTTAACAGACAAAAGCTGTTCAGCTCTGGCTGCAGTTCTTGGATCAGATACCAATCTGAAAGAGCTGAACATGAACAATAATAATCTACAGGATTCAGGAGTGAAGCTGATCTGCACTGGACTGAAGAATATAAAGTGTAAATTGGAGATACTGAGGTAAGTTGAGCCACAGGAGTCACATGACTAGAGTGAGGTGCGATGACTGACAGGACGATGCCGGAGGCAAAAGCGCAAGAGAACTTTTGTGAAAAATTCAAAGATCTTTTATTTATTTGTTACAACGTGGATAATGTTGTTAAATAAATGTTGTTGTGTTTTTTCTTCTATTACCGTATTTTCCGTACTATAAGGCGCACTTAAAAGCCTTTAATTTTCTCAAAAAACGACAGTGCGCCTTATAATCCGGAGAGCCTTATATATGGATGGTGAACACGCGTTCACCAAGACGGGGAGACAGCGCCGGGCGACTTACGCCACTATCTGCCAATGGATCGTGGATGCCTGGGCTGATATATCAGTCTCAACTGTGATCCGAGCTTTCACAAAGGCAGGAATAATCTCTTTATTCAGCCAGCTCACATACCCGTATTTACTTCCTGTTTTCGGTCGAAGTCCACAGTAGTCGATTGTCGAGTTCACGCGCGCGATCAAACCTCCTCCTTGTGTTCAACATCTGATTCGGATGAACTATCCATTTGAGCTGATATTCTCAGGACACCACAGCACCGTCATCGGCTGACAGTCTGAGTCTCCACTGTTGCTTAGTTACAAATGATCGCGCGCGCGCACTCGACAATCGACTACTGTGGACTTCGACCGAAAACAGGAAGAAAATACGGGTGTGTGAGCTGGCTGAATAAACATCATTTTTATTCATATCTTTCACATTTACTGCAGTCAGATTCACCCTGTTCACTCACATGGCTGTGCACTTGTAATGACACAATAACCCTCTGGGGACTAAGCCCTTTTTGGTCCGTTTTCTCTATTTTTACATTTGGGCTTATAAACCATATGTAATGGAGATGGAACACTATGTGTTTGGTATCTATGGATTCAGAAGACCCTACTCTAACATAAGCATGCATGTAATGTGTTTATAAAGGAAGTATGAGTGAAAAATTTACAATAAACTAGAGAATTTCAAAAAACGGAAATTAGATTTTTGTCATTTATATCTGAAAATCACACATCACACAACAATAGTGAACAGTTTTTGAACAAAAAATATATTTGTCAAAGCCTTTGCTTGACAGACATGTGTAATTGTTAAATAAAATGTGTAAAGAACAATGAAAAATGTAACTTTATTTACAAATAGTCCCCGGCGTTTTTCTTAGGAATGCTTAGAATTTTCTAAGCAATGCTTTCTCCTCGTCACTCTCCAGTAATTGCTCCAGAGCTTGTTCCACCGTAAATCTTACTGCTTGCCATCATAAAAGTGCTAAAACAATAAACAATGTTATAATTGTATGTATATAAATATTTATATTATAATTGTTCTGTCTCTCTCTCATATTTCTCTGATAATCCGCTCCGTAAGTCTCCGTTCGCTCTCTCTCCTTCTCTCCATTCAACGCTGTTTGCGTCATATCCCTAACTATATAGTACCACCCCTTGCAAGGCTACAGAGTCCTCTGATTTGCTAGATACGTCATGGTAACTTTCCTCTGATTGGATAAGAAAAATATTTCGCCATCGACAATTTTTTCATTGGTTGTTGTTCGCGGAATCTGCCAAACAACATCGATTTCATTGGCCCTTTACATTGTGGTATTGCGCAACAAGGAAGTGTGTATATTTACAAGCCGGGTAAGTTATCACTGTTTTCAGCGGAATCTGAGGAAGACGGTAAAAAAGACCGCACCTCTCTATCATTAATAGTTTTTAAGATATTTACACATTTGTAAAAGTATGCCATTTTGGGCGGTACCGCCCAATCCGTCCCCAGAGGGTTAAGGTTGTTAAGAGGCTAAAAGCAGGTTTAAAACTTGCCCCGTTTAAGTCAACAGGGTGCGAATTTTAAAAAGAGGATAACACGGTCGGTTTTTGTCGTTGTTATCTGTACTGACAGCACTCCAAATTTACAAAAAAATGAGCTCAATGTTATAATTGACCGGAGTTCTCCTTTAACGTTTGAACAACGTTACCATGGGAGTGAACGGAGTTGTCAGAACGCTTAATAAAGTTTGACTTTATCTGACTGTTTTGTTGACATTTCCTTTAGCACATCTAGTGGATGCATAACGCAAACCCAGTCAAACGTTTGACTGCAGTATCTTATGCGCCTTATAATCCGGTGCGCCCTATATATGAAAAATTTTCTAAAATAGGTCATTCATTGAAGGTGCGCCTTATAGTGCGGAAAATACGGTAATATTGAAGTGACATTAAGCATTCATTTCGTCCAAGAAAAGGAAAGATCTAACATTAAATATCAGAATAAGAGCTACAGATCCTGAGGGTCATTGGCAAATATATTTTGTTAGAGGGTTAGCTACCCTTGTCGGCAGTATCCAGCTCCGTGTTTACAGGATGCTGGAGACACCCGCCCAAGGCTTCTGAGAAATTAAAGAGAAAAATACCCCTAGAGTCTGCGAGAGCGGGGGCGGAAGATGACTCAATGTTGGACAACATGGTTAACGACTTAGGAATGGAAACGGATATGAGTATGGAGAGTAAGACTAGTTCAAGATCTGCAGTAAGAAGCGTAAATGGATGGAGAAGCATAGTTTACTGTAAAGCTACGTCTTAGTTTTGCTTATCTTGGCGAAAGCCGAGAACAAATCAGCATGAAGTTTTAACATCTACTCTCGTGTAATGGAAATCATGGCATTGGCAAATATATTTGTAATATAAGTGCTCCACGTGGCTCTGGGGGTTTAATAAAGGCCTGGAGCTAGTTATTTTAGTCGATAAAGTTTTAAATAAGGATATTTTTCTCACACAAACGCATCGCTTCACTTCAGAAGGCTTTTATTAACCGCCCAGAGCCGTGTGGAGCACTTTTATCATGGATGGATGCACTTTGATGGAAAAATATACAGCCATTCACTGCCATTATAAAGCTTGGAAGAGCCAGGACATTTTTTTTTTATATAATTCTGATTGTATTCGTCTGAAAGTAGCATGTCATATACACCTATGATGTGTTGAGGGTGAGTAAATCATGAGCTAATTTTCATTTTTGGGTGAACTACCCCCTTAACACCTGGTACTGCACTGGGATTATACTATTTAGTGGATAAAGTATTCTCTATATACACTACCGTTCAAAAGTTTGGGGTCGGTACGATTTTAAATACTTTTAAAAGAATTCTCTTCTGCTAACCATGGCTGCGCTTATTTGATTAAAAATACAACAAAAATCAGTTATAGTATTAAATATTATTCCAGTGTAAATCAGCTGTTTTCTGTGTGAATATATAGTAAAGTGTAATTTATTCCTGTGATCAAAGCTGAATTTTCAGCATCACCAGTGTCAGTGTCTTCAGTGTCAAATGATCCTTCACAAATCAGTATAATATGAGGATTTGATGCTCAAGAAACATTTATTATTATTATCAATGTTGAAACAGTTGTTGGTCTGTCAGTTGTACAGTTTTTTTTTTTTAGGATTCTTTGATGAATAGGAAGTTCAAAAGACTTTTGCAACATTATAAATGTCTTTACTGTCACTTTCGATCAAATTAATTATTCCTTGATAAATAAAAGTATTGATTTCTTTCCTCCAAAAAATAAAAATAAAATTCTCACTGACCCCAAACTTTTGAACGGTAGTGTATGTATATTCTACTTCTTATAAGTTAACACTTAAATTGTGATGTTTTTGTTTATAGTAATTTATACTTTAGTGATGTAATCATTACTTGCATACCTAGTGTTGAGTCAGAATTCAGATGATTCTGTTAGAGCTGGTAAATCTGCCACAGAATGGAGGGCGATATCTGGTAGAAATCCCTTCTCTTAATATTTGATGTGACAGGATTAATGTATTTTAGTGCTTTTGAGGGAGCTGTGTATCTTTGATTCTGCTTTCAGCTTTGCAGATAGTCTCGACTAAACACTTCCTCTAGTTTATGAGTGTGTTACACCACTGTGAAGGTATTTTGGTCCATTTGTCCCACTCCTCCTTACAAAGCTTCTTCAGCTCGGTGACATTTGTAGACTTTCCAGCATGAGCGGTGTATCACGTACTTCCACAGCATTTCAATGGAGTTGAGGTCTGGACTTTAATTAGGCCATTCCCAAACTTTAATTTTCTCATTTTCCGACCATTTTCAGGTTACTTGTTGTGGATCATTCAGATCAAAGACTTTCAGACCTGTACAGTTGTAAGACTGGATAAACTGGAAGAGAGGGCAACTCTCTGAGAAAACAAAGGAAATTAACATTTGAACTCTCTTGCTAAATTACTATCCCCATTCGAGACACGATCGCACTTGAGTTGATCACCTCCCAATTTGCACATCATTCCCTTCACCCATCCCTACCTGAATTCACCCAAATCATCTATATGGTTTAATATGAACTATTATCATACAGTATTAGACTTGTTTGGTATGATTTGAAATGTCTCAGTGCGACTGGTTAAAAGCCCTCATTCCCACATAAGTAAACCAAAAAGGTAATAAGGTGTGGAGAGTTTAGAGATATCTTGTTAACTGCTGTGTGTGTGCCCCCATGTAAATCAACGTCTCTCCCCAGTAAGTCTGGGACGGCGATTAATGCTAATTCACACTGTGAACTCATGTTTGCGTTTGAAAAGAGGTTTCTGCCTTGGTCTGGGTATTTAGGGAGATGCTGAAGAGCCTCGTGGCGATTTGTAACTCAAATTAGCCCGTGATGCAGAGTGTATGCAGGCACTCCCCATCATGTATTTTATTATGTCAGGTTCACATGTTCTCTCTTTATTCCAGAGCATTTGATGTTTTGTTTTGATTATCTTTGATTATCTAATTATGTAATTGGCATGATACATTTACCTGACATAATTAATTGGTACATTTGGTACTCTGAAATTGTTTTCCCAAGTAAATTAAACAGATTTGTATGTTACCGCAAGTTTTGCGTCAGATTAGTGATGACTAATATTTTGATGGTAATGAATGTGTACGTGTTTTGCGAAGACAATAAGTGAATTTCCTTTAAGGGCAGCAAAAGTTCTGCTTGACCAACCTAAATCTGGGTGTGTTTTACCTCTGTTTTAATTTAATGTTACTTTACATAAATGTACGTGGGAAACCACGGCATGGCCAATCCAAAGCTATTATAAGACAAGTAAAGTTGGTTGACTTAAGTAAAGAGTTAAATAGAACAATCAGATGTAATGCTAAACTATTATATAATTGACCAATAATCAATTGGCAATCTAACTTAAATTTGAGGTTGTGATAAAATGGAGTCAGATAAAAGCTTAAATGGACTTAAATTGCTTTGCCACGTGGAAAGACAGTAACACGCAGAGACCTTCGCCCGTTCTGGCGGAAACTCCCATTTGGACCGATAAACGGGCTTACACAGTTTTAGATAATTGTAATCTCGAAAGTGATGTTGATGTCTAACATATTAAATATTTCTGTGCCTTTTGTTTGCCTCCATATTCAGTTGTCAGTTTTTGCAACTAACTTTCAATGCATTTGTACAAAGAACAAAATAAAATTCAAGTTTAAGGATTTATATTGTTTGGGGTTTAACTGATTAATCAGTTGAATGCTTTCATTCCTGTTCTAGACTCTCTAATTGCAGTGTAACAGAAGAAGGTTATAAAGCTCTGGCTTCAGCTCTGAGATCAAACCTTTCACACCTGATAGAGCTGGATCTCACAGGGAATGATCCTGGAGAATCAGGAGTGAAGCAGCTCAATGATTTACTACAGGATCCAGACTGTCAACTGAAGACACTGAGGTGAGACAGGATCAACTATTTAACTAAATTAGTTAATTAGGTTAAATATTCATAACTAATATATTATTTTAGCTATACAATTAGCTTGACAATTTGTTACATTAAAATGATCAAGATCAGATCAGACGCTGCAGGTTCTGTCATGATGATGATGATAAACGTCAACACAGTTTAGTTGTGATACGAGCTACAGGTCAAATAGACATTATGGGTCAGTATATGTGCTGCTATTCTGGAGAATACCTTGATAATTGAAATGCACAATTTTATTTTTGTGCACACTTCTCATCAAAATTCTAGATAACCTTTTAGTGAAATAGTTTTCTGAACACAGTTGTTTTCCATCAAGCCCAGATTCACTGCATCTCTCTGTAGCAGGTCTATGAGTCTCCAGATGTTCACAAACATGCAGTTTTACAAGCCAGTTTTCTCTGTGCTACGTTTCTCACTTCTCCTGCTTAAAAGCCAGAAAGATCTTAATTTCACACTCTGTATTCACACTGAAAACCATGATCTAGTGAGCTTTTGCCCCTCTGCTCATGAGACGTTTATATTCTTATGAGTTTGCTTTAGGACTGAGTGTCGCTCTAGTTTCTTTAAAATTTATATTTACTTGTGTATTTAAATGTTCAAAGAAAAATTAAAAAACGTATCGTATCAATCTATTTTGTAATGCCACAGACATTTATTTGAGAACTGAATTGACTGTTCTGCAGGTTTTTGAGTCCTGCTGCAGAGGAAGCCTGTCAGTATGTGAATAGAGTTGTGGGTGAAAACCCGTTTCTCCAGAGAAAGCTGAATCTGAGTGGACATAAACTAGGAGACACACGAGTGAATCAGATCGCTGCTCTACTGCAGGATAACACTGTCGACTCAACACACTGACGTGAGTATTGCTCATTTATTTATAATATTCCTTTACTTTTAGTTGCAATGTTAGCTGATGATAATATTTCCTCACTTGTTTGAGTCAGAGCAGTTTTTTCCTCAGCGTCACACAGACCCACAATAATTTAAAGTAAAAAAATTAAACAGCAAATTAAAAAAACTTGATATCAAGCTTTAAATATTTAGTTAAGACTAAATTGTTGGAACATGGGTCAATAATTATTTCAGTTTCTGTAGAGGCAGAACAATGTTCTTTGTGACATCAGAATCAGAAATGTTCATAACTGCTTTCAATTCAATGTTTGTATTTCCCAAAATGTAAAATGTCTAATTTTGGTGCAGCATATACTGTTACTTGTAAAAATTGACCAAGCGCATTTTAAAAAGTCTGTGATCAGAATCTGCCTGTAATAAGATCCACTGAACGCTAGTGATGGGCACTTTCGAAACACGCTTCATGAAGATACGAAACCTTTCTGAATCTTTTGTTTTGAATCAGTGGTTCAGAGCGTGTATCAAAACGCCAAAGTCACATGATTTCAGGAAACGAGGATTAGTTACGTCATAACTGTTTCAAAATGTTTGGAAATGTCAGTGGTTCACCGCTGGGGGAAGATGATCTCTGTGAACCCATGAATCATTAGCCTGGCTAACGCCAGACCCAATTCTCGTTTAGACTTGGGTCTGGGAACCACATGTTCATTTTCTCGTATTTGAGGCGTGGTTTACGAATGCCCAGAGCCGTTTATTGGGTGCTAAGAATGTCTATCAAATGCGCCTGTACGTAGCTCATAGCCAATCGTTCCACTTATACTTATACCAGATGACGTATGTAGAGCGACAGAAATTAGACGAGGGAGACGACGATGGCCGATGGGTCAGAGATTTACGCCAGTTTCACACTGCACGCGTTAGCAGAGTGTAAGCAGCGCGTATTTTTTTCGGCGCCCATGTTAACAGATTAGAGCATTCACACCGCACGCAGAGGCGGCGCGACAGCGCGTAGCAGGAGCAACAGTGCCGCGATCGTTTCGGCGCCCTGTCTATTTTTGCTGCGCGGCTTACGCTGAATTAAAGTGACAATGCATTTAACATGGCCAAAATACACAGCAGTTTGACCCAAAAGCGCATTGATGATATCTATTGTGTTTTAAACAGTCAATCAAATGACCTTCATCAATTTAAAAAGAAAACAAAGTCAACAAAAACAAAGATGAACCAAAAGTTATATAATATAGCCTATTAATTAATGAAATAAGCTTCTTGACAAGTCTTTTCTCTTAAATGTATTTGAAAACGAAATAAAGCATTGCCAACTTACCCATTATAGAGTACTTTGTCTGTAAACACGCCGCGCGCGTCAAACGCTGCCAGTATGAAAGCAAAACGCGCGTGTCCTGCTTCCGCTCACCGTACGCACTGCTCCTGCGCTGCTTACGCTCTGCTAACGCGTGCAGTGTGAAACCGGCGTTATGTGTAGCCTACCCTACACGATGGTGTGTAATATCTAACGGCCGTTTCACACCGCATGCGTGAGCGGCGCGTATTTTTTTCGGCGTGCATGTTAATCAATGAGTGCATTCACACCGGGAGCGGCGCGTGAGCGTCGAGCAGGAGCGGCGCGTGAGCAGCAGTGAAGCGGGGGGTTCGAATCTGTTTTTTGCTGCATTGCTCACGCTAAATTAAAGTGAAAGCACACTTTTGATGGACAAAAATAAATATGATTTCACACAAAAAGTGCCCAAAATGCACAGAATTAGCATGTCTAGTGAGTTTTAACAAGAACTTGAGAAGGCAAATAAAAGAAAATAAAGACTCAGAAATATTTATGGAAGATTTAGGCTACCCGGTAAAAACTTGTTTTTAATTATTCAGTTTGGGTGAAAGTTGTGTATTATATAAAAAAAAACTAAAGTAAACTAGCCAGAAAATATTATATATAAACGTTCTTTTAGTTAATGTAACGTTAACACACAGACAGCTACAGGCTAGCACAACCCAAATCAAACCCGAGTGTGTGGTTTATTTGTGTGTTTTGTTTTTTATCCGCGGAGTTGCAGTCTTGTAAACATCGAAAGTATGACTGAAACTAATAGATTGGAGCCATTTTCTGGGTTGTTTTGTTGTATTACATTTAACTTATATGCGAATGTTGTAAAGTTACACCTCCCCATTACAAACTTTCAAGACTATCAATGTTCTAAAATGACCAACTTCTAAAAACAAATGTATAGTTGTCTTTGTAAAGAATTGCTCGCTTATAATGCCGACGTCATATTTCAATGTCTTTGGAAAACAAGAAAAAACACAAAATGACTTAAGCAATTATGCTATGAGGCTAACGATATGTAGCTTTGGAGCCGCTGCTGTGACACTGTACAAACGCTTCCAGTGTGAATACTCTCGCGCGTCTACAGCTGCAGTGACGATGTAGTTACGCTGACGCGCTGCTCAAATGCCGCTCACGCTTGCGGTGTGAAACCCATGTGTGAAACGGCCGTAAGGCTGCATCGAAAGGTAACTTCGCGTCTGCTGCCATGTTTGATCCATAGGTATAAACAAACTGCTTCGGTGTGTCGCATAGACGCGTCATCGTCTTGCTGCTCTCACCCCGTTCTGTGATTGGTTCCCTAAATGAGGCGAAAATTTGGTCCATGGTATCCATACTGCCTTTCAGCGTGAATAAAATCGCGCTGCGGGAAGGCAGCATGGGGAAACCCAGACTAATGAATCATGCAAATTTACTGAGATTGAACAATTGTCTGTGGGTTTAACCTGATCTCTGATCAGTTTTATACATTTGTAGATGTTTTAATCAGACATTAGAGTAATTAAAAGGAATAATAGTTAATAGTCTCTCATTGGCCTGTTTAGCTGAGCTATCCATAAAATAAACAAAACAAGCACTGGAAATTGATAAAAGAGCACATATTATACAGACACTTGATATTTAATCATATTAGATTATTAGTTAATTGCATTTGATAGATTTTACTTTCAATAAAACATTTGTAATGGGTTTGTAGAAGGTGTTTATATGCAGTTTTTGGCCAGCATGTGTCGTTTCGAAACTACACGCTTGCACGCTTAGACTAACGCTTCAAAACAGTGAATCATTTTGAGAAGAAATTGGTTTAACTGATTTCTCCCATCACTACTGAACGCAAGTGCAGCTTTATTCAAATAAACGTGAACAAAACTACAAAAACAAAGACTTGACTGAGAAACATGAACGTCACCAACAGCAGTTACAGGGAACACAGCCAGACAGAAGACAATGGTCACATGAAGGCAGAGCCGTACGCAGGGTTTTATAAAAACTGAGGTCCCAAAATTGATGTTGCTAGGGGGGTTCAGGGGAAATTTTTGATTTTCCTGATCTACACATGTGCAATTTAAGGTGTTTGAAGGACAACACAATTGGATATCAATAGCTTTAAAAGCATGTCAGTGGGCAGTAGCATACATTATTTGTCAAGCAGAAAACAGATTCTTAAACATGAGAATCAGGTTAAATGTTGCGATGAATGATCCACACTACAAAATGAAATGCAGAAATGTTATGCTTATTGTTGACAAACACAATCACTTATTCCAAACAGGAATGAGAAATGATTCAATGATTATTTTGCATAGATGTTACATTTCAGTCTAACGCCAATGCAATCCTTCTGTGTCCAGAGGCATATGAGCAATATGTATGAGCATCAAAGATCAGTTTCAGCAACTTGTTTCTTTCCTGATTTAATCAATGTTTTTAGACTAATCAGTTCAATTAATGGTTCAATTGCTCACTCATAAAGACAGTCACGTGTCGCCCCCTACTGGCTTACAGATGCAAGTTGCACAAACACAGACAAGTGGAGTAATACAGTGACAAGTCCCAGTGCTGATAATGGTGAAATATTCAAACACATTCGAAGTACACAAATATATATTTATACAATAATACTATTATGGAAATATATTTAATAGGGGCTTGTGTATGAAGGTAATATGAAGCCATAAAGAATCGCATGCGCAGGGTAAGATTTGTGAAATTGTACTTAAGATTGCAAGCGTAAATTAAATTAGCATGCGCAAGAGAAGATTTGAATACGATCTTCTCTCTAAGTGTATCGTATTACGAATACGATACACTTACGAATCGTATTCGTAAGTGTAATTCATGTATTTATTTACCATGCATACCGTAAAACTTCAAATAATAGCCGAGTCCCAAATAGACGCCTGTCTCTTTTACACGCCTGGTGTGGCGACAGGTTTGGATAAATAAAGGCCGGTCTCAAATAGAGGCCTGGTCTGTTTTTTTAGTTTCGGGTTGTATTTAATCTTCTAAAACCCGTCAGATCGTCTGTTTAAGCCAGTTCGGTATGGTGCAGATTGCGCACGCAAGAGAGCCCTGCGCATCTGGGCGGAGCTGTTAGCGCAAGCGAGGCAGGAGGAGTTAGCGGAGGCCGGAGAGGGAGAAGTGGAGGAGAGCGACGAGGAGGAGGAATTCACCAATGAACTTGTAGTTGAGGATCACGGCACTGACTGACAGAACTAGTGTGACTGGGTTTTAAAACAGACTATTGGAAACTAAATGCTGCTGTAGCTCTTCAATAAGATGATCATCATAGATGTGAACTATTGTTATTTCTCTGTCTTCAGTCTGAATAGATGCAGAATTACAGAGAAACAGAGTCTCATCCTGACTTCAGCTCTGAAATCAAACCCGTCACACCTGAGAGAGCTGGACCTGATCTGGAATAAACTAGGAGACTCTGGAGTGAAAAACCTCAGTGATCTACTGATGAACCCACAATTCAAGCTGGAGAAACTACAGTTAGTGTCATTATACTGTACAGCAATTACAGTGTGACTGAAGTTTATTTATTTGAAGACAGCAGGGCTTATGTTTCATTGGTTATAGCAGTGCACTTTCTGGGTTTCCCTATTGCTCACATTTTTATGTGTTTTGTTTATCTACACTCTGTGTAATTATTCTGTGGCTTAGTAAATATCAGTAATATTTAACTTTATTAACTTAATAAAATCTCTGAATATCATTTAATTGATTGTTTGAGTTAAACATACAAAAATAATTGATCCAACAGTTCATTTCATCTAAAATTTACAGTTATATTTAAAAAAATGTCACTATAAGAATTTAGTATTTGACTAACCATTTATTTATTTTTAATACACTTAAAGCTGCAGTCCGTAGCTTTTTTGGGTTAAAATTATCCAAAATACATATTTGAGCAAATACATAACCAGCCAGTGTTCAAAACTCTCTGCTTGCCGTAGCTCGATTCAAAGCGGTAAACTTTAATTCCAGTGGTACTGGTGGATTTCAGCGGGAGATTCAAGCATGTCTTTGCGTCATTACGTCACATCTGTACACACACATCTGTCCACACACATCTGTCCACACACACATCTGTCCACACACATCTGTCCACACACACATCTGTACACACACATCTGTACACACACATCTGTCCACACACATCTGTCCACACACACATCTGTCCACACACATCTGTACACACACATCTGTCCACACACATCTGTCCACACACACATCTGTCCACACACACATCTGTCCACAAACACATCTGTACACACACATCTGTACACACACACACACACACATCTGTCCACACACACATCTGTGCACACACATCTGTACACATAAAGAAGAGTCTCGGCTAGTAGGCTATATTGCGTGTGAGGATGTTGGAGGTGAAGATTTATAGCCTTTTCTCACAGCACTGGATATAATTGACCCTTCGCTAAGCCCCGCCCTCCTTAGTTACTGTTGCTACGCCTGTCAAGCTTTCGCGGCTGCCACGTCTATTACAGTGTGAATGCACCGGTGTCAGACATTCCCAAGGAGATATTTAGTAATTTTTGGCGAACAAGTGAAATATCTGAGAGAGCAAGACAAAAGGGACAGCAGTATGCATTCGAGGGATATATCCACAACATAATATGCAACTTATTAGCAGGGCCGGCTCTAGCCCTTTGGTTGCCCTAGGCGAGATTGATTTTTTTGATTTTTACACCAGCAATAACCCTGCGCCGCCGATTAAGCAAAACAAAACGAATGGGCTATTTCTATTTTAGCCCCCGGCTTTATCTTTCTTTTTCGACGACAACTCACTACTCGTGCCTGTTCGCTCAGCACTCACGGCGCCCGCGCCCGCTCGCGATATTATTGGAGGGGGGTCCCCTGTCAAAATTCTATGATAAAATCTTATGAGGGCGCCTACTCCGCTACACATACCGGTATACCCACTTTTTGCGCCACTGGCAGGCTTATGTAATTGCTCCACTCGTTGCAGTGTTAATGAAGTACAATAAAAGCGGAAAGTTCCTTACGCGGCTCTGGCGCCCCCCCTAGGGTTTAAGGCACTTGCGCCCTTAGCATTTGCCTATACTGCCTATGCCACGGGCCGGCCCTGCTTATTAGAGAATAATTTCATCAAAATTGAAGCTAAAGCCTATAACGTTAGGTCCCAGCGCAAGTAGCAGGCGCCTCCTTAGCAGACCATTCAAATGGGAAACACACAAATTGAACAGCTATGTTCATGCACAGCAGAGTAAGTGAAATGTGAAAATAATCTAATAATTACAAATCAAACAGTTTATCCATCAATCTAACACCGGGAGAGCCGCGATCGGATTGGGGTAAAGTTACAGGGGTAACGTTAGTAGGCCGTCGATTAACAAAATGCTGAAACATATTTTAAAGTGTGTCAGTGAGCCTCCGTCTTGCCTTTAATCGTCTTATGTTACGTTCAAATATATGCATTATGAAAAACCGCCATTATTTCCAAGCAATAGACATTTAGTTGTGAATGGGTCTCCCACACTGCTTGATCCACGCCCGGGATTTCTCCCCTTGGCTTTTAGGTTTCGGGAAGGGAAAAAATGCCACCCCACCGTCCAAACTTTTAGAATACCGGGTATCAGATTTGCACAATCCATACGCACAACTCATCGGCATGTTTCCCTCGCTCGAAAGCTTGACAGACCTCCCGCGCCTAGTTACGGTTGCTAAGCCACGATTGGCCAGTGGCGGTTTTCGGGCGTGGCTTAGCGAAGGGTCAATTAAACTTATCAGTTTGATGGCGGATCCAGAAAGGTTCAAACGACGATCACCAGTGACAACAGATTCACCCGCTGTAACATGCAGAAGACTTCGTTCGGACTTCGGAGCGGCGACAGAGAGAAAGAGACTGCAGCCGGACCCATGCGAAAACAAGGATAATATCAGAAGGACATTACATGTAGTCACGCAATGCTTGCTTACGCTGTTAACATTAACAATCTGAGAACAAAGTATAATTTGCACGGTTTTGTGTGATATGATAACTTATAAGCGATTGTTAGATTTAATCAGCGCCATTTACTGCAATGTCACAACCAGAACAAAAGTGGATGTTTCTTACTAGTTCAGACATTTTCCGGTGAAATATATTTAACACACTCTTGAGAGATTGAGCAGATTTACTCAGTTAAAACAATGTCCCCCACCCCTGACGTGACGACAGCTCAACGGTTGAGTGAGCGCGCGCTGTCTGAACTCTTCAGTCTCCAGATCAGTTCTCTCTTCTCAGCGGCGCAGAATTGGTGCATTTCCTCTGTGAAATTCAGGTGTGTGTGTGTTTTATTTTATCTTTTATTTTATAAAATCATTACTGTGCTTTAAATCATTTTATGTAATGCGAAACAACATACTGGGACTCAATGTGAGTCACCTAAACGAGTGTCACGTCTGTCTTTTCGCTGATTGAAATGTCTGATGGCTTGCATAAAACACACAACTTTATTCCTAAAGATAATGAATATAACTAATTTGGATGATAAATGTTCTCAGAACTGAGCACTGTTTGTTTATTGGCAGGTTATGGAGTCGCAGCATCTTTCAGCTATGAGAGAAACGCAGGACGGCGGTCTGAAGGTGGAAGTTCCCCCAGAGCGCGAGTCCATCTCCGGCACCAGAACCAGCGCTGATCCGGTGGAAACTGGAGAACAGACCGGTTCATTACACTTGAATTAGGCGACCTGAATGTTTAAATGTTTCATTTTTACTTCTAAAATGTTTGTTACATGAGTTTATATGTAGGCAATCTTGTATACATGTTAAAACAGTGTAAAATATGCCGTATTGATGTAACGTTACTCATCGACAATAAAGGCCAATGTCATTTATAGCTACCGGTGGTTGTATAGAATACTATTTCGCAAAGGTTTATAGAAAATAAAAAAGTTAATTACTCATAAATATTGATATTTTTTATATTTTTCCACAATTATTTCTACTCAATTTTATTTGTTAATGTACCAGATGCAGTTACTCAGATCTACAGTTTTTTACTTACATTTACTCAGTTTATAGAGTGTACTGTAATTGATTTCACTGCTTTAAAATTGAATCAGTATTTTTGAGTGTAAAAATGTTTCACCCAAAAAAATTTGTAAATCATATAAAACTTTTAAGAGTGTAGATAGTAATTGTTTAATTCCCAGCATCTGATACAATGTACTGATTGTGTACACGCAGAAATCTGCCTTTTCAACAGAGAATAAAGAAGAGAGACGTCAAATAAATAGTTAAAAATGAAAGAGAAGAAACAGTGTCTTCCAGCGCACAGAACTAGTGTGACTGAGTTTTAAAACAGAGTATTGGAAACTAAATGCTGTATTATATTTCTACAAACATTTTCACCTTCGTATTTTGTGATCTGGTGAAATAAAGATGAAGATCTCTCTTCCTCTGTCTGTTTTATTTGCTGATGAAGATGATGTGACTTTACAGAATAAAGTCTCTTATTTTCTTCATTCTCTCTCTCTCTCTCTCTCTCTCTCTCTCTCTCTCTCTCTCTCTCTCTCTCTCTCTCTCTCTCTCTCTCTCTCTCTCTCTCTCTCTCTCTCTCTCTCTCTCTCTCTCTCTCTCTCTCTCTCTCTCTCTCTCTCTCTCTCTCTCTGCTAATGTAGGTTAAGCTGCTGTGATATGACAGATGAAGGTTGTTCTGATGTGACTTCAGCTCTGAAATCAAACCCGTCACACCTGAGAGAGCTGGACCTGAGCGGGAATAAACTAGGAGACTCTGGAGTGAAAAACCTCAGTGATCTACTGATGAACCCACAATTCAAGCTGGAGAAACTACAGTTAGTGTCATTATACTGTACAGCAATTACAGTGTGACTGAAGTTTATTTATTTGAAGACAGCAGGGCTTATGTTTCATTGGTTATAGCAGTGCACTTTCTGGGTTTATTAAACTAAAACACTTTATACTCAATATCTGACAGTGAGTCTGAGTTCACATTATATCTGTGTAAAATTCTTCACATTCATGATTTGTTTGTAAGATAATCTCTCTTCCTCTGTTTGTGTCTCTCTAGTTTATATGACTGTGGCATTACAGATGTTTCTTCTTTAACTCAGTCTTTGACTAACTCAAAAGCACTGCAGTTTTTAAAAGAGCTTGATCTGAGTTTCAATAAGATAGGAGACTCAAAGCAGCGGCTCAGAGACGAGCTACGAGACTCAAACTGTGTCCTGAGGTGAGGAAACATCACTGAGATATTAAAGAGATCTTCATTTACCTCTGATATGTGAACAAACCTTTCAAACATTAGTGAAAGGAAATTATCATTAAGATTTGTTGCAACAAAGGGTTTGTGTGAGAAAAAAATGTGAAGTTATTGAAATGTTGAACACAAAGGAGGAAAGAGAAGAAAAGCTCACTGTCACAGCTTTATACATCAACACCTGCTTTATGAACTGTGTCAGTAGAAGTGAATCATTTCAGTGTGAAAACAGACTTGGTCAGATTGTAGGAAACGCTGCACTCCTGCTAAAATCAGTGCAGTTCCAGCTTCAGCTCACAGCGTCCAGCTCACATGAGCAATGTCTCTGTCTCTAGTGTGTTTTACTGTGACAAGCAACACGTCACACTACTCTACACTTACTTTACTCTCAGTTATTTACTAAGAGCCTACAAACATGTTTAAACTAGAGGACAAACGGCTTTAACTAAAGGTTTGTGTTTAACTCAAAATAACATTAGTATTTGCTCCCTGTGGTTTATTCCATACGCCGTACACTCATTAGTTTCTCCTTTACAGAGACTCAATAGGAGTCGCACCGACACACACAAACACACACACACACACATATGAACATGATTCAGGTTTAAATCTATTATATTTAAAAACACAAATATCTCTATCCAAGATCATGTAAAGTCAGTAATTAATCTGATTACAGGAATTCAATTTAACTTATTTTTACTCAAAAACAGTAATTGAAATATAATAATTTGCACTTTGTTCCACTGAACACTGATTGTTTTCTCTTCTGTTCCACTTTACAGAGTAGATGAAGATTGATGACCAAACGTCAGTGGATTTACATCAAGGTTTAAATCTGTGAAACGGAGATGAGAGGAGCAGAAACCATCAGGCGATCCACAGAAGAGTCTCACTGCTGTCTATGAGGAGAAATACATGTGTAAATGTGTTTCATACAGGTGGAAGAGACTCAGACTTCACTATTAAATAAAGCAGCGTGTGTGTTAGCATGCGTATTAGAAACATGTGATATTGAATGATTAATGTTGGTTTATTATTCAGCCAAATGATGGTTTAGTTGTAATTAAAGGTGGAACAGAGGAAGAAGCTCAGATGAGTGTCAGCAGAAATCTTCACTATCAGGCCTGCAAATATAATAATGTTTAGACTAAACTCATCCATAATGATTCAAATATTTCTGATTACATGTAACTTTTAAACATTTACATTATCTCTCTAACATGTTATACACAGAATATCTTAATTGTTATTGTTTTATTGTATATGAAGTTAGTTATATGTGTGTGTGTGTGTGTGTGTGTGTGTGTGTGTGTGTGTGTGTGTGTGTGAGTTGGTTTATGTGATTTATGAGGACACAAATTTGTATAATGACATGTGTATTACACTGGTATTACAACTTATGGGTGGTTTATGAGGACATTTCAAAAGTCCTCATAAATCAAATGGCTTAAAAAACATAAAAAACAATGTTTTATTAAAAAATTAAAAATGCTGCATGTCTCCTGTGATGGGTAGGTTTAGGGATAGGGGCAGTGTAGGGGGATAGAATATATAGTTTTTACGGTATAAAAACCATTACGCCTATGGAGAGTCCTCATAATGCTGTTGCACCAACATGTGTGTGTGTGTGTGTGTGTGTGTGTGTGTGTGTGTGTGTGTGTGTGTGTGTGTGTGTGTGTGTGTGTGTGTGTGTGTGCGTGCAGGATCGGTGACCCAGATATCAATAATTACTACGATCAATGGTGTTAATTATTCATATATGGTAAGGTTTAGTCCATTCCCTATTTGGGATAATTTAATTTATGTATGCGATTATACTGTATATTCATTATCTAATGAATAATATTCCCCATTTGAGTTAATAATTCCCCCAAACAAGTCATTGTTGCTACAAGTGTTATGAACAGAGAAGCGTGTAGCAGCGCAGCAGCAGAACGGCTAAATTGAGCTCGAGGTTTTAGAAAAAAAACAGTGGTGGGTAGAAAATGACTCATGACGAAATCTGGTGGGGACGCCTATGTGTGAACCTAAAGTGGCCCACACATGACAGAGCAAATATGGCCCGATTACATTGCTGTGGCGAGCAGGACGAGGTCGAGGGCCGTGAGAGGACGGCGTGAGGCCGGTGGCGTGATTGATAATGAGTGACTCCAGCGCGACACACAGTATCTCTCGCATCTCTCATGGAGGAGCGGAAGCATAAAAGGAGGAGAGACAGTGGAGATTGAGAGAGGAACAGGCCTGAACTTGTGTTATGTTCTGTTTCTGTCGTCCGCGAGCGGCTGCTGGCTTATACTTTCGTTTTTGTAGATGTTTTATTTTGTTATTAAAAGTGTTGAATGTTCGCCGGTTCCCGCCTCCTCCTTCCCAGAACAACGAACTTCGTTACAATTGCAAAATAATTTGGACAACATTTGGCAAATGAATGGCACAGTCAGCACTGGATAACCAGGGTGTAAGCCTTATGGCACAGTAAGCAACGTGTGTGTGTGTGTGTGTGTGTGTGTGTGTACTGTAGGGATGGGAAAATGAAGCCTCATGAAGCACTGAGGCTTTCCCCTGAATGTTTCGGGAAAAGATTCGAAGCATCAAGAGTGTCGAGACTTCCGGTAATGGCGGAGCAGCGCTCAGTCGCTCCACAGAGCCGCTCGCTTAATAACAGTCTTCTGGCCTCCCAACTTTGCTTTTAACGACGGTGGAACTACTTTATTGTTGTCGGTAACGTTTTTACACCATATTATGTCCGAACAAAATCAGAATAGGAAACAGAAATGTAAAGGCAGAGCTCAAGCACTGAAACTAATGGACCACAACTACGTTGCTAGCCAAAAAGAAAAATCGCTCCATGATTATCCTCTTTGCCTTCCTCACAGCGAGGGATGACGTCTGGAAAAATGCACGAAACCACACTTTCCTGAGGGAGAAGAGGCTCCGCTTCGGCGAGGATCTCACTCAGGCTGACAAGAAGACCCGAGAAAGGCTGTGTTCCTGCATCGAAGAAGCGAGGAAACAAGGAAAGCCAGCTTTTGTCAGAGGAACCCGAGCCTTCATAGAGGATGTGGAGATGCTTTAAGATGTTTCCTACGGAGCCACACTAGGACTTTGTTGTAACTTCTGACCTTGTGCTTCTCTTTCTGTTGCTGCTTTAGAGGGGAAGAAGATCTGTTCAGGTGACGGTGCTAATACCTGTGTTGGCTATATCTGCTCATAGGGGTGAACTCCATCCTCAACAGGGTTTTATTATATATTAATAATAATTAATAATTGTATATTATTAACCCAGTCAGTCATTCATGAATAACACGAGCACTTTGTAATTACTTTAAAATGTTCCGAATTCAAGAGGCAGAAGCTGTTATTGCTTAGGTTGTTTTTCTCTCGTAAAGAGAATTGTTCTTTAGCGCTTAATGAAACTACTTTCTTTAAATGCCAGAGGACAACGAAACATTGTTAAAAGAAAAGCCATCTTTATTTTTTTCTAAGGACTACAATGCTGATGTTATTTTCATCCAAGAAACTCACTCATGTAAAGAGGAGGAAAAGTTATGGAAGAGTCAATAGAGGACATTTGGTCGACTCACGGATCAACCACTCAGCAGGGGTTGCTATTCTCACTCATACATTTAAAGGAAAGGTTTTTAATACCGTAAAGGACACCGATGGTCACTGGATGGTTACTATTACCTGTTTGGAAGATGCATTTTTTATTTTAGGCAACATCTATGGGTACAGCTCACTCTCACAAAATTTAAAATTATTGGAAGCCCCCATTATTTGACACCCCCAATTTCATCACATAATTCAGATTAAAATAAATATAAAATATTCCGAATGAATACTTTTGTTCGTTGTCTTTATTAAATTCATTTGCCAGCTAGAAAGATAATAACATATTTTAAATAATCTGTAATGTACCCCCCGTCCACCGCACTAACTACTTGGTATTACCCAACCCGCCCACGGAGAAGAAGCACTTCAGCTGCGCATGCATGTCCAATTTATGGTAAGAGGCGTGACCTTACCGGGCAACGTGCGATAAGCTGCTGTCGAATCACAACACAGGAACCGCTGGCACAATCAGAACTCGCTACGTATTTCTGAAGGAGGGACTTCATAGAACAAGGAAGTCATCGGGCCGTTTTTTGGACAGTGAAAACAGCGGTATACAGATAAGTAAATTGTGTGAAAAATACTGTTTTTTTACACGCGAAACATGAACACATGTTATATTGCACACTGTAAACACAATCAAAGCTTCAAAAAAACATGAAGAACAGGACCTTTAATGGACACTTTGGCCTCAAACTTACATTTATCTAGTTTTGACATCTTCTTTTACTTTTCTGACTCAAACTCCTCTGTACAATATATAGTCAACTTATTCATTTTGCTTGGAAAAAGTCTTTATTCATAAATCGAAATTTATGAAGAACAAACCTTTTTTCAATGTTTTTAAACTTGACTTAAAAAATTATATAGACTGTATTTCTGGATTAAATGGTAAATCAGCATCAGAATGTATGCAATATTTATCTAATTTAACTTTATAATTAAGTTAACTGATATTTACTGTCTGTAACTCTGGCTGTGTACTTTTATGTTGTTTATAATTTTTATACAGATTATTTGTTACTTATATGATATTTGTTTCAATTCTCTATTTATTGGCTGATGTATATATATATATATATATATATATATATATATATATATATTTTTTTTTTTTATTATTCTTTATGAAAGGGTTACTGTAACTAAATGATTTTTGTATTACAAGTTCAATTTCTTTTTTCGGCAAATTGTAACAAATGTGATATGCAAAAAAAAAAAAAAATCACACCAAAAAACATCATGAGTGTGGAAACCAGTCCTCATCCGAATGCAGAATGCCTGACGAGGAGAGGGGGCCAAGATGGCGGCGGTGTAGGTGGTAGTGTATCTGCGCTTCAGGGAAATAAAGGTGAAGTGGTGATATAACCCATTAATTGGACTGGTGATAACGTGAAAAACTAAGTGAAAAGTTCTATGATTCTGTTTTGAACTCTTTATACATGGGAAAAAGAGGCAAGAAGAAAGTGAAACAAGTTCGCCTTGACACCATGTCGTTCAACGCATCTGACACAGTCGATCAGCTTGAGGATTCGGCATCAGCCTCGAGTAGTGCTGGTTTTAAATTTCAGAAAGATACCGAATCACAATGGTTTAACACGTCCAAATTTTGACAATGAGGTTGTTGTCGCATCCCTCTCGGATACTCCTCAGAAGCCAGCTGCAAAAAGACTAAACGCGCAGAATCTAGTGGAAACGGAAATGAGGATGTCTTGGCGGCTATTCGTGAGCTTGCTACAAAACTCGATAAAATTTCCAGAAGATTTTGGCGATTTGCCCACGGAGGCAACTTCCAAACAAGTCAAAAGTCTAACAGCGATGGAGCAACAGCTTATTTTGGATGTTGGAGTGCATAAAGAGGCTCAGTTCGTGAAGCAATGAAACAGTTGAACCAAATGGTCCATATTGTTTCGAGGCTTCGAATCAATCCGACACCCGTCTCCACTGTGACACCTAGTGGTCACTTGCAGGTGTTGATCTGAAACAACCTTGACGAGCCATGAAAATTTGTTGTTTTTTTATATTGTACTTTTCTAATATGTGAATCTTGTAACCTATAGGCTCCTCACTGTGCATAATGTTATTTTGGTCCTGCAAAATGAATATTAATAAAATAAATCAAGCCACAATGTCTCACTTTTTTACATATTTTTATTCAAAAATATTAATTTCTCTGCTGTGGAAGGACTTAGCCTACTTCTTTTTTTACAGATAATTTCTCCAGCCTTTGAAAAAATCCTCTCACAAGGGACACTTGTTGCTGGCATGCAAATAAATTTTTTAGCTAGGACATACAAATGAGGAAAGATTACTGCTCTCTCTTTCCAGTAAGTTAGGGGATCATGAGTTCTGGGCAAATACGCATCGTTGATGTATTTTTTCACTTCCACTGTGGCATCAGCTGTAGCATTGTGTATCATCTGGGTTTGATGGATACGAGTATCAAAAAGTTCCCATAAACTGTCCTGTGTTTCTACTGGTG